CGGTGCAGCATTAACAACGATTCAGAGCGCCTGGAATCATGCATGAGGGAAGCCTGGTGCTGTGTTTTATTTTAGTTGACAGTGAATTTTGTGCATTAAGTGAGTGATGGTCCACCGTCTTGTCCATCTAAGGGGGGGCTAGACGAAGGATGGGAGAGAGAGAAGAAGAGGAGTCGAGATGAGAGAGTCGAGTTTGTCGTTGGCAAAGAAGAGACAGATCTGTGTTCATGATCAATATTACAATAACAAAGTGCTTATAATGTTATATTGGTAAGAAAAAGTATTTTTTCTTTTTGAGACCTATTGAGTAGATGTCTTTGAGGAGTGGAGGGAGGTGAAAACTGGGCCATATCTACTAGAGGACCATCCATCATCAGGCCATCAAAAAACTTCCATTCTCCATCATGTTGAATCTTTAGAGAAATCCTCTTACTGCTCTGCAGACAGTCAGCCAGCTGCTCCTGCTTCATTCTCTCAGGAAGTTCACTGTGATCTTCACAAATGCCTCTCTGCTCCTCCTCTGCTCTTCATCCTCAGCGTCCAACACCTCCTCATCCTCTCTTGACTCCCTGAGCATTCTGGGTAATCTGGACTCAGAAGCTTGTGCATCTTCTTCAGCTCGTTCTTGACAAAAGTGACCATGTTCTCCTCCAGCAGCTGGAACAGAAAAACTATATGAATGACAGCATCAAACATCAGATCCATGTTGGACAGACTGACAGTCCACTGGTCTGAAAGTGCAGCATGGAGATTATTGTGAACACAACAGATGGGACAGTAGTTGTTGTACATGTACAGACCATAAATATGGAGTCCAGCTGTGTTTGATGCTGCAGACTGAGCACTGGGAACCTCTGAGCTCTCCTGGTCCACTCTGTGGAGGAATCATGAAGAATGAGCTCACATTATGTCTGTCCACACAGAGACAGACACAAGCTAAAGGTCCATGAAGTCACGTTGGATGTGACAGCCAATCAGACGACTCCCTGTAGCGTAAAGTTTTACTAGTCCTGCCGATCCACTGAGAATCAACAGCTCAGTCTGCAGCTTTTGTAGCTTTCAGCTCAGTGTTTGCTTTAGTCCAACAGCTCTCACCAACCCTCCACTGTTTTACCTCCACCTTCCGTGAGGACGTTCACAACAGACACAAAACACTTTGATTTCAGACCAGGTCCAACAACACGTCGTACAAACTAGTCTTTTCTACAAATAACCTGAGTCTCACTGTCAGTTACAGCTTACATCTGATCAGCTGAATGGACTCGCCCTTAAAGTCAAAGAGCCAGCCGATAGAGCCGTCGCTCTTAAAGACAGACAGCTGGGTTCAGGAGGATCTGGTCTCGCTGCTGGATCCTGAAACAAAACAGAACTGATAAATGTTCATGTTGAATAAAAACTGATGAAAATATCTTCAATCTTTAAATAAACACAAAACAACTGACTTTTAGTGAGAAACGTCTTTCTGACTGTTTTTAAATTCTGACCTTCCATCAACAGATTGTCTGAAATTCTCAAAGTTGACCATGGACGCGTCACTCTTTCATGGACACACAGCTGGATCCAGGTCCAGGTCCAGATTCAGGTCCAGGTCCAGGTCCAGGTCCAGGTCCAAGCAGAGTGTGGTGTGTCTCTAACCCTAACACACACAGAGCTTTGAGTGTAATAATGATGGAGCAGTGATGTGAGTCATGGACAGTTAGAGATCCTCATCTCACCTCTGAGCTCTGGTCTGGCTCTCAGTTCCCCACACAGAGTGGTTTAGAGGGAGGGGCTCCCTCCTCTCTGTCCTCACACTGATCCATGCTGCTGAAGTTCACATCCACATCAGCTCACACACACTTTCTACCTTCATGTGGAGAGAAACACACATCATTCATCTGCACATCATTTCTCCAGCTGCTCCTCCACTGATTGGCTCTTCTTCTCTGTTTCATATCAGTGTGAGGCAGAGGAAGCTGCCATCAGCTGCTGTACTTCTACCATCAGTCCACTAGATGGCGTCATGAAGCTCAGACAGCGGGAGAGCAGCAGCTCAGCTCCTCCTCCACAGGATGATTCAGGTGGGAAAAGCTGCCTCCAGTCATCAGTAAGTGGAGCTACACAGTAATAACGACTGTGTTCATCAACTAACTCTGCTTCTCCTGAAAACATCCACTCAACATGGCGGACATGTCTGGACTTTACAGTTACAGCTCTGACTCATTATAGTTTTAATGTTTCAGCGTTTCTGGACAAATCTTTCCAAACTTCACTCTGACACTTTCTCTGATCACTGTGAAGCTGCAAAGCTCCTGTTCCAGACAGAGTCAGTGTGTCAGTCGTAGCTGACATATAACTGTGTTTTTACAGGCTTTTAATACGATGATTTCTATGTTTAGTGCTTATTTCTTCTATTTCAATACGTCTGAAAACATAATATAAAAATATGTAAATGAAAAGCTGCACTGAAGGCAACAGTGAGACTCCTGTTAACCCTTCACATCCACCATCAATCCATCCTCCAGGATCCCTGTAGACTGACAGGAGCCACCAGGGGCGCTCACTGGTTTCTGTTAGAGACTATTTAATGTAGATCACTCTGTGTGTAACCATGGTAACCACAGTCATTGCCCCAATTTAACATGAATCATGATCCTTCATAAAACAACTTGTTATCAGATCAAAGTCCAGCATCTAGATCAGGATCTGATATCAGGACTCTGGTTCAGAGTTTTATTATGAGTCTGTTCAACGTTCAAATAAAAACAGTCACAATAAAAAAACAAAGAGCTTCAAGGATCAAACTGTATCAGTTCTAATGTGAAGTGTAGAGTGTGATACACACAACACACACACACACACACACACACACACACACACACCACACACACACTGTTAGTCTTCAGTCTGATTTGACTTGTGTCTCATCAGAAAGATCTACTTGTGGACTGAGCTGGATTTCAAGTGTCTGTCGTTAGATGAACTTTAATAATGATAAAATAATAATAATGATAATAATAATAATGATAAATAATAATAATATGATAATAATAATAATAGTACATTGTGTTTATAAGCCCCTCTCTAGACACCCAAGGACACTTTACAAAGCAAATGAAACCTTCAGAAACAAGAGAAAGACGATGTATGAATGAAAGAATTAAAGAGCTGTGGAGTCATCTTCTTCTTCTGTTCTCCACGTCAACACACCAACAAACAAACAGCAGCTCGTCTGTGATGAAGAGCAAACGTCAGAGACTGAAATCAATCAAAGGTCCACTTACTCAGATTCTTCATTCTCTCTGGGTCGGACCAGGTCTGTGAAGAAACCATGAGCTGAAATCCTCTGCTTGTTGTCCTTCACCAGTCCTCTGTGTGTGCAGGCTGCTGTCAGAGTGAAACACTTATGAACCAGTCTGAACCTGCAGCTCGCTCAAAGATCAGCTGCTGCACCTTTATATGACTTTATTATCTTTAATATTTAACCTGCAGCAGCTTCCTGCTCCGACTCTGACACGCTGAGAAACCTGACAACTAATAATCCATCAACTGACGTCTTCAACACCCAAACTATTTCCTCTACTTGCTGGATGAGGGGATCAGGTGACTGGAGATGGTGGGAACACACTGAGGGCAACTACAGGACAAGTGAGGACCAGCAGGGAGTAGATGACATGACAGATGTCAGAGAAAAGAGCAAACATGTAGAAAGAAGGAGAGAAAAGTTGACATGAAACAGAAGATGGATCCACAGAGTGGTTGTCATGTTCATCATTGACCTCTCCAGTCCCTCCCTCTGTGATGTAGAGCTCTGTGTAGATCTGCTTCAGAAGGGTTGGGTTTCCTGCTTTAGAAATCCCCTCAAACACAAACTGGAACTTCTTCTTCAGGTTACATTTGAGTTTACGACGACAAACTGCTTTGTAGCTTTCAGCTCACTGAGTCTCACTGTCAGTTACAGCTTACATCTGATCAGCTGATGGACGTCGCCCTTTAAACTCAATGATAACATCCTTTGACATGTTAGAGGGAGGGGCTCCCTCCTCTCTGTCCTCACACTGATCCATGCTGCTGAGTTCACATCCACATCAGCTCACACACACTTTCTACCTTCATGTGGAGAGAAACACACATCATTCATCTGCACATCAACTCAAATGTACATCATTTCTCCAGCTGCTCCTCCACTGATTGGCTCTTCTTCTCTGTTTCATATCAGTGTGAGGCAGAGGAAGCTGCCATCAGCTGCTGTACTTCTACCATCCGTCCACTAGATGGCGTCATGAAGCTGCAGTGACGTGATTCACAACTACAGAAATCACCAGAAAGAGGCTGATGTGAGGTGAGTCAGTCTCTTTACTCACAGGTCTGTCAACAAAACACACATATCCCACACAGAAATATTATGATGTAATTAAGATTCAGAGAAATCCCTCAGACAGAAATATTAAAAGACATTATAGTTCACAAGAGGTCAGTGATACATTTGAATGAATTAGTTAACACATCTGGAATAATACAATAACTAATATAGAATAATATAACACAAGTAATGCTTTGGATGCAGGATTATAACTTGTAAAGGAGAATTTCTAAATTGCCTTATTTCTCCATTAAGTGTCTGAACACTTTATCCTCCCTCAGAGAATCTAGAGCTGTCACGGGGCCCCTTTCAGTCGGGCCCCTGACCTATTAAACAAGTTGTTCAATAGTTAAATCTGAACCTGCATAAAGTACCAGCAGCAAACCAACAACCAAAACAACAACAGAGACATAGATAGGTGTCGCTTCAATAAAAATACCAGATATGTTTTGACAGACAGCTTTTCTGTTTGTGTTCAGTCATAGATATAATCACCTACCGGAACAGCAGAAATGCTTTATTGTCAGAGGATTTATGGAGATGTATTATCAAATTGATTATGTATGTATCTTAATAATGCCCATTTTGCAATAAATACATTTTAAAAAATCGTTATTGAGAGAAAAAGGCTCCACTACAAGTAAAAATCCTGCTTAATCATTTTACCAGAGTAAAAGTTCCCAAGTGTTTTTAGTCAAATATAGTTAAAGAATCAAGTATTATGCAGAATGGACTCTGTCATTATTATATCATCATATTATGTGAAAAGTAACTGTAGCTGTGAAATTAATGTAGTACAAGTATAAAGAAGCAGAACATGGATATACTCTAGTAAAGTACAATTAAGATTGTAATTAAGTAAAGTACTGGAGTAAATGTACTTAGTTACTGTCACAATCAGACACACCCCTCCAAATAACTTGAAGAGACAGCTCCAAAATAAATGACTGACAGTCTCAATAAAGTGTTCACAATAAGATCAAATCTTAATTCAAAGGAAATCTCTTTCATTACGTCACTGATCACGTTTAAATTGAAATTTTGATAAAGATGAAGTTCCTGTTGGAGGAGTGCCAGGTTTGTGACGCAGTTGTCTTTCTGAATACGGCCATGATTACTTCTTTAATAACAACAACAGCTGTCTGCCCCTCAGCCCGCCACACTGAGTCCACATCAGTCCTACAGTGTAAATCTAATGACAGACCGTTCACCCACAGAGAGTCACAGCTGTTCTCCAGCGGCTGTCCGGCAGAGCTCAGGCCGCATTTAGTGGCTCAGACAGCGGGAGAGCAGCGGCTCATCTCCGCCTCCTCCACAGGCTGATTCAGGCGGGAACAGCTGCCTCCAGTCCTCAGCAAGTGGAGCTACACAGTAATAACGAGTTTAATAATAATTGTTAATAACTGTGTTCAACCACCGACCATCAACTAACTCTATTTCTACTCTTATTCCCCCGCTTCCACTGAAAACATCGAAACAACATGGCGGACATTTTTAAAGTGCGTGAAGCTTTTACAGCTCTGAATCAGTTACAGTAACATTATACTTCAATAACAACAACACAGCAATAACATGAAGGTTAGATAACTCAGCTAACGACAGGTGTTAATGACTAAAACGTTAAAAACGGATCACATTACCTTAAGAGGAGAAAACCATCCGCGTCACAAAGAAATGTGAGAATGTGAAAGTGAAACTAAAATTAAACAATGAAACGGGGGGAGGGGAGAATTAATAAGATACGGATCAGGAAACGTGGCGCACGCACGTGCACGCACGCGCACACACACACACACACACACACACACACACACACACACACACACACACACAGGACTGAAGGATAAGAACATGTTCAGTGGTAGTTAGACTTTGTTTAGAGACACAAACGTTTAGAAACAACCAAACTGCTGGAGGTTTGTGTTTATAGTTACTTGAACAATGTTTTTATCTGATTGGATCCAAAAGTTTAACTGTCATATTATTCAATGTACATTATCTTGGATTGACTAAAGTTATTTATTTGTTATTTATTATAAGTTAGAGATGAAAAATGATAGAGAGAGTGAGTGAGTGAGTGAGTGAGTGAGTGAGTGAGTGAGTGAGTGAGTGTGTGTGTGTGTGTGTGTGTGTGTGGGTATGTTGGTTTTGTGTGTGTGTGTGTGTGTGTGTGTGTGTGTGTGTGTGTGTGTGTGTGCGTGAGTGACTGAGCGGCTCCGTCACCAACTGAAACATGCAGTACACACCACACACATCTCATTTGGTTCAGGTTAAGCGGTTGGCACACTTTGTTAATATTCCTCTTCCCTTCACTGTTTTAGTAGCGTAACAAAGGCTGCATTTGTGGTCGTTCTATTGCTATTTATGGAAACATTCACATTCATTCATACATACATACATAGATAGAGTAGATAGATAGATAGATAGATAGATAGATAGATACTTTATTCATCCTCTAGGGAGAATTCAATTGTACAGCAGCTTGAGTGTAGTTAAAGTTATAGTTATAGGTCAGTAGCCCAGGTCATGAGCTACTGCCTTTGGCTTAGGTGTAATACGGTCTGATTGATGTCTTATGAAACGTTTTCCTTCAATGTTGTGTTGACTACGCTTTAAGAAAACATGCTGGACTTTCTGAAAGCTTGCACACTCACATATACCAGTGGGATGTTTTCCTATAATGTGTAAAGACCTGTTCAACCCACAGAGCTCCAGCCTCCGTTTGATTCATTTCACAACATCCTGACACGTTTCTGAACAACAGATTTTGATCTGAAGTTGAAGTGAGAAGTAATTGTATGCTTTCTTTTCCATTCTCAGTGTTTGTCGTTTCCTTTTAGTGTTGAACTCTCCCAATGGACATATTCAGATTTATTTCTCCTTTCTCTAAGAATGACTTTTCATTAGAATCTGCTCTTTCATTTCCCTCCATCGCAGCAAGACCTGATTCACAACCCGTCTAAATAAAACAGACTCAATGTCTTTCCTGATGTCAGATCTGATAGTTCCTCTGTGAGTCTGTGTCACTTCACACGACTCTGACTCTTCATTGATGGTGATGTGGCGCCCTCTGGTGGTGAAAAGATAAAGTGCATGGTGTCAGATTGATGAACAGAGACGGCATCAAGTGTTTTGACAATGATACTTTAATGTTGTTATTAGAATTGTACTAATGACTGATGTTAATCACACTGATACCAACAGTGATGTCTTTAATACAAACATTCATGTGGATGGATGTTACAGTAACGGAGACGCACAAAGAAACTATCATGACCACTGCTCCTCCCAGTGGTCTCTGTCAGTAATTACCAGTCCAACATTTGCTGATTGAAATTATAAGTTATTTCCACCAATCAGAAGCGGTCGTTAGGCAGACCAGAGTCAGCCGACCATTCAGGTTTTTGTGCGCGGACGTTGGCTGACGTCTGCGCCGTGACACCGGGAGAAACAAATATGGAAAAAACTAATGAAAACACAGAGTAAAAGCAACATTGGAGCGGTCTTCTCGTCCCTGTGGTTTGCTAGCACCGTGAAAGACGTCATTACTGGAGAAGTTTGTTTACTAGAATGAGACGGAGCAAAAAAAACAAAAACAAAAAGAAACGGAGCAGCTTTTGTCAGAACACACCTGCGGCGCAAAGGTAAGGCTAACGAGCTAAGTAATTAGCTGCGTGCTTTAGCATTAGCATTAGCACTGTCTTTATGCGAAACCTTTTGACTTACTTCCGTTTTCAGTCGTTTTCATTGAGTGAGTGAGTGCGTGCGTGCGTGCGTGCGTGCGTGTGTGTTTATTTGTGTGACTAAAGCACCTGCTTCTCTGTCACTTTGATTTGATTTAAGTGGAATTCCCCCCCTGTGTTTTGTGATTAATGAGGTTGTTTTATTTATGCCGCTATACTTTAGGCTTCCTTAAGGTGCAGTGTAGCTCCACATTGTTTTATTATTTTTGTATTTTTTGGCTTGTTTGTTAATGTTTGAGTGGATTCACTGAATTGTATATTTTGTCCCGTTACTCCTTCAGCGAGGCCGACATTGTGTCCTTTTAGCAAAACTCCCTCGCTGCTTGTTGACTGGAGCATGTATTGTAAATAAATGTATGTTGTGGTATAGCAGTTTCTGGTTCCAGTTTATTCTGGGTGCATGAAGTTTTACCAGCTCACATTAATACTACAAATAATAAGTTGGTACATTAGTGGGGAAATAAGTCAAGCATGTCTTGATGTTTCAAAGTCAAGAGCAATCCGCAATCGTCCATCGGCACAACCCTAGTGCCCAGTTTTGTGTCTGTGTGAAATTCAATGTACAAACATGATGTAGTATACATAGATAACCTCAAATAAAACCAAAGTAATGTAGTTGCAGTGAATGACATTTTTGTGGATGTCTTCTGTAATTGTAAAAAAGGTAAAATCAAACGTATGATAATTATGATTGAATTATTATTTTTATATTGTACAGAGAAATGACCCACCTTGACCCAACTTCAGGAGACGTTCTCCACTTCTAAACTCAAAGTGTGATTGTTGCGATAGGGGGATTACGCTGCAGGGAGCTCTTTCTTTAGTCCTTTTTGTTGTTGAATCAAGTCAAGGTTTTAGCACAAACTGAAATGAATTCATCATTTTTAGTTGAATTCATCCATATGCTTCATGTATGTTCAGGAGGCGATTAGAGTAACTTCCTTCATGTGGGTGTAGATGTTAAAGGTTATGTCAGTTTGTGTTTTCTTCAAAGATTTAAATTGGTTGAAGTATAATGTATACGTGTACATTTCCCAGTTTGACTGGTATGTTTGTGGTATAAATCATAAACCTTGTGACAGCTTTATTTCAGCGGTGAAAAAACGGAATTATTGAAACAACAGTAAAGTTTCCATATATTCTTTATTGCTCAGTGAAGCAGTTCCATCACAGGTCAAAACAACAGCATGGGGTGTTACTGAGCATAAATCACATAGCATTTACTAATGAACTTAGAATATGGGGCAGTTGACTTCCTATTGGGAGGCAAGAAACCCTTTTTATTTTTTGGCACTTTATGTTTATTGTGAAGTACACAAAGGGCACAGTAATATCATGTATATGTATTTTTACGTTTTGTTCCCTTGATCATTCCCCCATCGATTCTTCCTTCTCAATTCCCCCAAAGAAATGGCACTGCCTCAAAAGTCTGTGAAACATTTTACAGTATCAGTACCTGGAATATGGAGTACAACGAGTAACATGTTGCAGGAGGATTTGTTAAGGAAGGGAAAAAAATGGCGGGGGGGGGAGTGAGAACTTTATTTTCTGTAATTTTGGAAATGTCCCTCAGCCACATAGAAGTGCTCGGGGAGCGGGGTGATTTCCAATCCATCAGGATTCTCCTACCTGCCAAAAGGGTTGAGGAAGCAATTGTATCTTTATGTTTATTATTGAAGGTTGGATCTTTGTCATGCTGGACACCAAAGATGCACATGAAGGCGTCGGGTTGAAGATTCAGATGTAGTGATTCTGAAAGGAACTTGAATAGTGTATTCCAGTAGTTTGTCAGTTGTGAGCAGGACCAAAAGATGTGTGTAAGATCTGCAGGTGTGTTATGACATGTAATGCAACGATTACATTTCTTTGTACCTTATATTGTAATATGTTTAAGTATGCAGATGATGAACTTTTATTAATTAGGGGCCCCAGATTATGGCCTGGTTCCTTACACCAAGTTTATTTATTTTTTTCCCCTTAACCCCCTTTGATACAAACAATGTTAGTCTCAGTAACTGAGATGATAATGTGATATATTGTGGACATAAATCCTTTTAGCTTTTGTGTAGCCAGCTTTTTGTCATAATGAGTCTTGCGGCAAAGTAGGAAAATTGGGGTTAATAGATTTAGCAAAGTGTGGCACCTGTAAATAGTAGATCAGGTGAGATCCTGTTCTGCTATTTCCAGGTATGACACTTTGAGGGATGTGACATGTCTCAATAGCCTTACCAATGTATAATTGACCCATGTTATAAATGCTGTTTGTTTTGAAGTCCTAAGGTGAATGCTGAGTGTAGCTTAGGTGGAAGGGAAAAGGTGACGATCATGAATAGGAGTTAGGCTAGATGCTGTTATTTGGCACGATTTAGCTTCAAGTAGACACTGAGGTAGCTACTTGAGGTAGCTTATTCCAACATCTTATTAATACTTTATTGTTTTTAAAAGATATGTTTTAATACATTATATAAAGTAGGCTTACTGAGAAACAGTAAATATTCTGTGCCCTAACCCTGTGCCATGTTTGCCTGCAAGTGTTTCAAGTGTTTGTTCTTGTGTTGACCAGGTGTTCTTGGTCAGCTGCTGTTGCCTGGATGGAAATACCAGCTCTCAGACCTTATGGACCAGGACCAAAGAGGTATGCGTGGTAAAGTGGCTTTACACCAGATTGACCTTGTTAAAGGTTCTGAAACCAGATTTTAAACATAAGACAGCGGCAAAAAGCTATTTTCTATGTAGAGATGTAATGTGTCCTGAGCACATGTATGTATTTATTTATTTCTTAGGAGAAGCAAGGAAGAAAATCCAGGAAGAGGAAGTGTTTTTAAGTGGGGGGTGTGGCCTGTGTGAGCCTCTTTGAGACCATGCGGTTAGTCCAGGTGAGGTGGCTTGTATTGTTTGTTTGCATTGCTTTGAATTGGTCTGTAGTGTGTCTTTGACTGTTTAGGTGAGTTTG